GAGCAAAGTGCAGACTGCCTTCGATCCTTTGGTTGTTGACACCCATCACCATTCGAGGAGGATGCTAGTACAACAGACCTGTGGAGCTGAACCTAGGTTGGGACGACCCACTGCCAGAAACAGTCCTGCCAGGAGTGGGATCTCGTTAACAAAGACCTAGCGGAATTGCACGAGTTTCACATTCCCCAGTCCATCGGTGCACCCGGGCGGGATATGAATTGCACGTCTTCTGTGATGCCTCCTCCAGGGCCTATGGGGCAGTAGCGTATTTGGTGGCCGTGACCAAGTCAATCTGGTCACCAGTCTTGCGCGGGTGACACCCCTGAAGGTTGCTCGATCCCAAAGCTAGAGCTCACGCGATGTTGCTGGGAGCAAGACTGGGTAATACGTGAGGGAGGTGTTAAGTAATCTAGGGACACACGCACCTTTGTAATGGACAGACTCGGATGTGCCTACAGTGGTCCAGAATGATAGTTCTAAGCTCCCCTATGTCAGAATCGGGTAAAGAGATACAGAACTACAGTCCAACATAAACAATTCTGTAATGTGCCTACAGATCAAAACCCAGCCGACCTGATAAGCCGATGGTGACACACAGAAGTTGAGTAAAAGCCGAGCTTTGTTCAAAGAGGCCCAGACTGGTTACCGCCAAGGGATTGCTGGCCGGAGCAGAAATTCGTGGAGACAATCAGCCACATAGTAACATTTCGCGGGGGAACACACACTGAATTATTTGACCCCAGGCGCTACTCCTCGTGGAGAAAACTTATAGGAGGTCACGGATATGGTATTTCGATTCGTGGAGGAAGCTGCATGACAAGGTAAGCCAGGGTCGACAGTTGTCTCTAGTTGGTCCCAGAGAATATTGGATAAGCAGTACCAAAGGGGGAGGGTTCCACCAGGAGTGCTGGAAGTACTGCGACCCGGCAGCAGGTTATGGCTCAGGACGCGTGTCCAACGTAGTACGACTCATGAACAGCAAATTGGTTCACTTCATTGAGATTGTTCCTATATCCTGTCGGGGCTAATAAGATGCAGGGGACGAATACAAACTCTGAGCTCCTATGGGGCCAAACATCCCGTGCTGCTGGGAAAGGATGGATGGCGAACAGAGCTATTTATACAATATGCCCATCAGAGACCTTACATGGGGGGTATGGAGATACCCTCCACCGCCTAACGTCAGAAAATTACTGTGTACTGAAGGGTCGAGCTTGCGTCAAAAGGGTGCTAAAGAGTTTGCACGTCTCCGCGGTTACGAATGGGATGACCCTACCTTCCAAACCCAGGTCCACCACCGCTGGCCTCAGAGCGGGTACATATGACAGCCCTTTGAGACTGTAGGAATAGACTATAAGGGGCTATCACATTGAAGAACCCAGGAGACGTTTAAGGAGGGCCCTCAGAAAGTATATGTCTGCCTTTTACCTGTGCCACTTACCCGAGCGTGCATTTGGAGGTGGCAGAAGATATGACGACAGAGACTACGTGAAGTTGTTCAGGAGGTTTACTGCCAATCACGTGCCCGCGATGATTATCTCGGACAATGGCACAAGCTTTAGGGCGGCACGATAAAGTTTATCAGGAATCTAGGACAACGGAGAAGTACGGAGAACACCTGAAGAGAATAAGTCGAGTGTATGTTCATAGGCTGCCCAGGGCACCCCTGGCAAGGGGGATTCTATGACGCAATGGTGGCACAGTCAAAAGTGCATTCGGAAGTCTTGCACGGCAGAGGGTGAGCTGTGATGAACTGAGGACAGTGTTAGTTGAGATAGAGGCAAGAGTTAATAACAGGCCTCTGACCTACGTACAAAATGGGATTGACAGCAGAAAGCTCTCACCCCCAATCACATGCTGTTTTGAAGAAGATTGAGCCCCTTCCCCGCAATTTTGAGTCAGTCTTTCCAATGACTGGTTTATATGGGCCAAGTCCCCCCATCAATGAGAACTGCACAGGAGTCACAACAGACTGGTGAACATCCTGGACAAATGGAACATTGTGGCGCAAGGGATTACTTGACAATCCACATTGCGGGAACATTTTCTATGGTGCCGACCCCCGAGGCGAATAAGATGATTGCTAAGTGAAAGGGAACCTGGTGCTGGTAGAAATCCGAGCGCCGAGGGCATACAGGGCCTCTTGCCTGGTAGTGTCAACCCACCCAGACAAGGCTTGGGCGTTTTTTTTTTTTTTTTTATTTTTTTTTGTTTTTTTTTTTTTTTTTTTTTTTTTTTTTTTAGTTTTTTATTTTTTTTTTTTTGTTTTTTTTTTTTTTTTTTTTTTTTTTTTTTTTTTTTTTTTTTTTTTTTTTTTTTTTTTTTTTTTTTTTTTTTTATTTTTTGTTTTGTTTTTTTTTTTTTTTTTTTTTTTTTTTTTTTTTGAGAATGGTGAAAGTGAGAGAATGAAACGGTGTCGAGACTATAAGAACCCATCAACAGGCTTTGCCTCTCGAGGTCCACACGGTGGACACGGGACATGAGAAATCAAACAAGAGTTTAGAGAGCTGAGCGTGTCCGGTCGACGCCGTCGAACGCGCTCCGAGTCCCGGGCCCACTGGGGGGGCCCTGCGGGAGCAGACTGATCTAACTTAGCGCCTACCTTCGCGCGGGAGGATGTGTGAAATTTATTTGGTCCAAATAGATTCCACAACTCAGATCCAGCATGACGACTGGTGCGTCTGAGCCGAGCGACCCTTAAACCCTCCCAAACAAGCAGGCATTCTCTGGTTGGCGTTGGTAAGCTTCATTTTAATTTTATAGATTTACTCTTCAGGAGGAGTAGTAGGTTTACTGGTAATACACTATATTAGGTTACTAAGGCATCTGTAGATAATGATAGAGTAGACTAACACCTTAACATAGTGTAGTAATAGCCGATAATGTAAGGCAAACATTAGATAAGTTAGCTAGGGAGAACTGGCAGCCTAGCTTGAATGGCGGGCGCAGGTTCACAAAGACAGAATAAGTCGTCTTTCTTACGATAGACATTTCGACTGGACAAGACGTGCCCGTGAACATCAGCGGCGCCCCCACGTGTCTTCACATCTAGAAGACCTGAGAAATCCTGGTAGAGACACCTCGATTTACCGTAATGATCTCCTCCATCAGCCCATACAGTAAGGACGAATATTCACACCCTTTCCTAGGATCTGGCCAGTGACCTTAGAGATCGTTGAGTTGAGTAACTGAGGGCTTCGGCGTGCTACAGAGAGAGTATGCCCAGTAAGTAACCAGCGTCTCAGAGTCGGGTCTGAAGCTAGCGTTGAGTCTGCAAAGTTATCTAGGGATACATACCCTCTTGGATATAGGAATTTCCTGAGGTTGCAGCAGACACTAATAACGATGAATATTGCAGGATTAATCTCCCGGTTGCACGTGGTTTCCCAAGGCAGTCCAAGGGGGCTAAAGCTAGGCTAGGAGTTGAAAACAGGTATATGCTGTCAAGCACCAAGTAAGTTAGTCTTTATACGTGCATGCAGGCGAGGTTACTTGCATAACCAATCATTTGTGAAAAAAATCTGTCCTATAAGCCACTTGTGAGCTGAGGTACCCATCTCAGAAGCTCGGTGTCAAACAGAGATGCCAGGGTAGGACCCACTTGGAGGCACCCATAACAAATTTTCCACAATAACCGACATAAGACAAGGATGGTCAGCCCAGCACCGTGTCTTCTTTGCAATGAAACCCGAATCTGCATGGACAGTTCTTCTTCAGACCACTGCAAGCACCGGCCGACATCAACCAAATCTTTCAGTGGGCTGCAAAAACAATATGAATTGTTCAACGATGATAAATTTCAATTACTCATATGGTAAAACATGAGGAAATTAAATCTTCATCAGAGGTACAAAACAAATTCGGCCACAAAATAGAGCGAAACACCAACGTCAAAGACCTGGGAGTGATTATGTCGGAGGATCTCACCTTCAAGGACCATAACATTGTATCAATCGCATCTGCTAGAAAAATGACAGGATGGATAATGAGAACCTTCAAAACTAGGAGGCCAAGCCCATGATGACACTCTTCAGGTCACTTGTTCTATCTAGGCTGGAATATTGCTGCACTCTAACAGCACCTTTCAAGCAGGTGAAATTGCCGACCTAGAAAAATGTACAGAGAACTTTCCACGGCGCGCATAATGGAGATAAAACACCTCAATTACTGGGAGCGCTTGAGTTTCTAAACCTGTATTCCCTGGAACGCAGGAGGGAGAGATACATGATTATATACACCTGGAAAATCCTAGAGGGACTAGTACCGAACTTGCACACGAAAATCACTCACTACGAAAGCAAAAGACTTGGCAGACGATGCACCATCCCCCCAATGAAAAGCACGGGTGTCACTAGCACGTTAAGAGACCATACAATAAGTGTCAGGGGCCCGAGACTGTTCAACTGCCTCCCAGCACACATAAGGGGGATTACCAACAGACCCCTGGCAGTCTTCAAGCTGGCACTGGACAAGCACCTAAAGTCAGTTCCTGATCAGCCGGGCTGTGGCTCGTACGTTGGTTTGCGTGCAGCCAGCAGCAACAGCCTGGTTGATCAGGCGCTGATCCACCAGGAGGCCTGGTCACAGACCGGGCCGCGGGGGCATTGACCCCCGAAACTCTCTCCAGGTAAACTCCAGGTAATTGGCGACAAAGTCTCGTTACAACAGGTCCAAGTAGTGGTGGTCCGGTGGTCTGGTGGCTAAAGCTCCCGCTTCTCACACAGAGGGCCCGGGTTCGATTCCCGGCGAGTGAACATATTTCGACGTGTTTCCTTACACCTGTTGTCCTGTTCACCTAACAACAAATAGGTACTGGGTGTTAGTCGACTGGTGTGCGTCGCATCCTGGGGGACAAGATTAAGGGCCCCAATGGAAATAAGTTAGACAGTCCTCGATGACGCACTAACTTTCTTGGGTTATCCTGGGTGGCTAACCCTCCGGGGTTAAAAATCTGAAGATATGTTATCTTAGTGGGACCATCGGCAGGATGCAGTATACAGGTGTCAGTGGCCCTGATGAACCAGTAAACAAACACAACTTGTGTTGTTCCTCTGTGGCTGTGATAAATCCAACAATAAACAGTGTTTGTGGTGTCTAACACAGGTGAGTAACAACTGTGGTGTCTAACACAGGTGAGTAACAACTGTGGTGTCTAACACAGGTGAGTAACAACTGTGGTGTCTAACACAGGTGAGTAACAACTGTGGTGTCTAACACAGGTGAGTAACAACTGTGGTGTCTAACACAGGTGAGTAACAACTGTGGTGTCTAACACAGGTGAGTAACAACTGTGGTGTCTAACACAGGTGAGTAACAACTGTGGTGTCTAACACAGGTGAGTAACAACTGTGGTGTCTAACACAGGTGAGTAACAACTGTGGTGTCTAACACAGGTGAGTAACAACTGTGGTGTCTAACACAGGTGAGTAACAACTGTGGTGTCTAACACAGGTGAGTAACAACTGTGGTGTCTAACACAGGTGAGTAACAACTGTGGTGTCTAACACAGGTGAGTAACAACTGTGGGTTGTCTAACACAGGTGAGTAACAACTGTGTGTCTAACACAGGTGAGTAACAACTGTGGTGTCTAACACAGGTGAGTAACAACTGTGGTGTCTAACACAGGTGAGTAACAACTGTGGTGTCTAACACAGGTGAGTAACAACTGTGGTGTCTAACACAGGTGAGTAACAACTGTGTGTCTAACACAGGTGAGTAACAACTGTGGTGTCTAACACAGGTGAGTAACAACTGTGGTGTCTAACACAGGTGAGTAACAACTGTGGTGTCTAACACAGGTGAGTAACAACTGTGGTGTCTAACACAGGTGAGTAACAACTACCTTTATTACAATACAACATTCATGTGCTAGATGATACATAGAGAGAGTTTGACCCATGAAATATAGTGTATTAAGGCGCCAGACATGATCATATCTGTGTCTTGTTGACTGTGTCAGGTGTTAGGTGCTCAGGTGTTGACTGTGTCAGGTGCTCAGGTGTTGACTGTGTCAGGTGTTGACTGTGTCAGGTGCTCAGGTGTTGACTGTGTCAGGTGTTAGGTGCTCAGGTGTTGACTGTGTCAGGTGCTCAGGTGTTGACTGTGTCAGGTGCTCAGGTGTTGACTGTGTCAGGTGCTCAGGTGTTGACTGTGTCAGGTGCTCAGGTGTTGACTGTGTCAGGTGTTAGGTGCTCAGGTGTTGACTGTGTCAGGTGTTGACTGTGTCAGGTGCTCAGGTGTTGACTGTGTCAGGTGTTAGGTGCTCAGGTGTTGACTGTGTCAGGTGTTGACTGTGTCAGGTGTTAGGTGCTCAGGTGTTGACTGTGTCAGGTGCTCAGGTGTCGACTGTGTCAGGTGTTAGGTGCTCAGATATTGACTGTCAGGTGTTAGGTGCTCAGGTGTTGACTGTCAGGTGTTAGGTGCTCAGGTGTTGACTGTGTCAGGTGTTAGGTGCTCAGATATTGACTGTCAGGTGTTAGGTGCTCAGGTGTTGACTGTGTCAGGTGTTAGGTGCTCAGATGTTGAGTGTCAGGTGTTAGGTGCTCAGGTGTTGACTGTGTCAGGTGTTAGGTGCTCAGGCAGCAGCAGGTGTTAGGTGCAGAGACAACAGCAGGTTTAAGTTAGCCAGTAAGTTTTTAGGTTTATGTTACATAAAATAAACAAGTTTATTCAGGTATACACAAATACAGTTACATAGATTATCATACATAGCAGCATATTATCATACATAGCAGCATATTATCATACATAGCAGCATATTATCATACATAGCAGCATATTATCATACATAGCAGCATATTATCATACATAACAGCATATTATCATACATAGCAGCATATTATCATACATAGCAGCATATTATCATACATAACAGCATATTATCATACATAGCAGCATATTATCATACATAGCAGCATATTATCATACATAACAGCATATTATCATACATAGCAGCATATTATCATACATAGCAGCATATTATCATACATAGCAGCATATTATCATGCATAGCAGCATATTATCATACATAACAGCATATTATCATACATAGCAGCATATTATCATACATAGCAGCATATTATCATGCATAGCAGCATATTATCATGCATAGCAGCATATTATCATACATAGCAGCATATTATCATACATAGCAGCATATTATCATGCATACCTGGAGTTTACCTGGAGAGAGTTCCAGGGGTCAACGCCCCCGCGGCCCGGTCTGTGACCAGGCCTCCTGGTGGATCAGAGCCTGATCAACCAGGCTGTTGCTGCTGGCTGCACGCAAACCAACGTACGAGCCACAGCCCGGGTGATCCGGAACTGACTTTAGGTGCTTGTCCAGTGCCAGCTTGAAGACTGCCAGGGGTCTGTTGGTAATCCCCCTTATGTGTGCTGGGAGGCAGTTGAACAGTCTCGGCCCCTGACACTTATTGTATGGTCCTTAACGTGCTAGTGACACCCTGCTTTCATTGGGGGGATGGTGCAAACGTCTGCCAAGTCTTTTGCTTTCGTAGTGAGTGATTTCTCGTGTGCAAGTTCGGTACTAGTCCTCTAGGATTTTCCAGTTGTATATAATCATGTATCTCTCCCTCCTGCGTTCCAGGGAATACAGGTTTAGGAACCTCAAGCGCTCCCAATAATTGAGGTGTTTTATCTCCGTTATGCGCGCCGTGAAAGTTCTCTGTACATTTACTAGGTCGGCAATTTCACCTGCCTTGAAAGGTGCTGTTAGTGTGCAGCAATATTCCAGCCTAGATAGAACAAGTGACCTGAAGAGTGTCATCATGGGCTTGGCCTCCCTAGTTTTGAAGGTTCTCATTATCCATCCTGTCATTTTTCTAGCAGATGCGATTGATACAATGTTATGGTCCTTGAAGGTGAGATCCTCCGACATGATCACTCCCAGGTCTTTGACGTTGGTGTTTCGCTCTATTTTGTGGCCAGAATTTGTTTTGTACTCTGATGAAGATTAATTTCCTCATGTTTACCATATCTGAGTAATTGAAATTTCTCATCGTTGAACTTCATATTGTTTTCTGCAGCCCACTGAAAGATTTGGTTGATGTCCGCCTGGAGCTTTGCAGTGTCTGCAATGGAAGACACTGTCATGCAGATTCGGGTGTCATCTGCAAAGGAAGACACGTGCTGTGGCTGACATCCTTGTCTATGTCGGATATGAGGATGAGGAACAAGATGGAGCGAGTACTGTGCCTTGTGGAACAGAGCTTTTCACCGTAGCTGCCTCGGACTTTACTCTGTTGACGACTACTCTCTGTGTTCTGTTAGTGAGGAAATTATAGATCCATCGACAGACTTTTCCTGTTATTCCTTTAGCACGCATTTTTGTGTGCTATTACGCCATGGTCACACTTGTCGAAGGCTTTTGCAAAGTCTGTATATATTACATCTGCATTCTTTTTGTCTTCTAGTGCATTTAGGACCTTGTCGTAGTGATCCAATAGTTGAGACAGACAAGAGCGACCTGTTTCTAAACCCATGTTGCCCTGGGTTGTGTAACTGATGGGTTTCTAGATGGGTGGTGATCTTGCTTCTTAGGACCCTTTCAAAGATTTTTATGATATGGGATGTTAGTGCTATTGGTCTGTAGTTCTTTGCTGTTGCTTTACTGCCCCCTTTGTGGAGTGGGGCTATGTCTGTTGTTTTTAGTAACTGTGGGACGACCCCCGTGTCCATGCTCCCTCTCTCCATAGGATGGAAAAGGCTCGTGATAGGGCTTCTTGCAGTTCTTGATGAACACAGAGTTCCATGAGTCTGGCCCTGGGGCAGAGTGCATTGGCATGTCATTTATCGCCTGTTCGAAGTCATTTGGCGTCAGGATAACATCGGATAGGCTTGTATTCATCAAATTTTGTGGCTCTCTCATAAAAAATTCATTTTGATCTTCGACTCTCAGTCTGGTTAGCGGCTTGCTAAAAACTGAGTCATATTGGGACTTGAGTAGTTCACTCATTTCCTTGCTGTCATCCGTGTAGGACCCATCTTGTTGAAGTAGGGGCCCAATACTGGACGTTGTTCTCGATTTTGATTTGGCATAGGAGAAGAAATACTTTGGGTTTCTTTCGATTTCATTTATGGCTTTTAGTTCTTCCCGCGATTCCTGACTCCTAAAGGATTCTTTTAGCTTAAGTTCGATGCTTGCTATTTCTCTGACCAGTGTCTCCCTGGTGTCTCCCTAGCAGCATATTATCATACATAGCAGCATATTATCATACATAACAGCATATTATCATACATAGCAGCATATTATCATACATAGCAGCATATTATCATGCCTGGTGGCTAAAGCTCCCGCTTCACACACGGAGGGCCCGGGTTCGATTCCCGGCGGGTGGAAACATTCCGACACGTTTCCTTACACCTGTTGTCCTGTTCACCTAGCAGCAAATAGTTACCTGGGTGTTAGTCGACTGGTGTGGGTCGCATCCTGGGGGACAAGATTAAGGACCCCAATGGAAATAAGTTAGACAGTCCTCGATGACTCACTGACTTTCTTGGGTTATCCTGGGTGGCTAACCCTCCGGGGTTAAAAATCTGAACGAAATCTTATCTTATCTTATTATCATACATAGCACCAATCATTGCAACATTCTTTAACAAATCCATTGAATCCTCCACCTTCCCTACAGTTCTCAAAATAGCAAGGGTCACCCTAATCCATAAAGGTGGAGACCAAACAGACTTGAATAACTATAGGCCAATATCCATCTTACACCCTCTCTCTAAAATCTTCGAAAAATTAATTCATAAACGAATCTATTCCTACCTCATCTCCCACAACATACTCAACCCCTGCCAATTTTGATTCAGGCCTAATAAAAATACTAATGATGCTATTATACACATGCTAGAACACATATACACTGCACTAGAGAAAAAAGAAGTCCCGCTGGGGATCTTCACTGACTTACATAAAGCTTTTGATACAGTTGACCACGACTTGCTCCACATAAAATTGTCACACTATGGTATAAGAGGGCACTCCCTCACTACCTTCAAGTCATACCCAGCAACAGAAGCCAATATGTGTACGCAAATGGGGCAAGCCTTCCGCACAACCAATTACAGTTGGTGTCCCACA